CGAACAGGGCGGCAAACGGCAAGGATGATTATTTGCGCGGGCGAAGAATAACGCGAGCACAACAAAATAACTGAAAACGAGAGAATTTCCTGATCGGCAGCTTACTTACCGCTTATGGGCGCTTGTTATTTCAGATGGTTTTGCTCGATGCACATTGCCGAAAAAAAATTTAGGGCGATCGATCGCGTAATACTAGCTCGCATACGCGACTACTGCAGGGTTAATAGTGTTGCCATATTGTTTGTTGAAAACAAATGTTTCTAGATTTAGGTATTTAATCAAAGGTATTTCATTTGAAAGAAATTTGAAGTTGCCATGAGAATGAATAATGAAAGTTATGGCATTAAAGAATATTTTTGTCTTTATTTGAAATATACACAGTAAGTTTTGAAAAATGTATTAATTATATGTATGAATAATGCTGGATTTCCACTAGGTATTAAATGGCAAAAAACGCCAATCATTCCATTACATTAAAAATTAGTCATTAAGTTCATAAATTTTTTGTCATTTCAATGCCGAGTAGAAATTCGGCATAATGTAGAGAATATAGCGTCACTAGACAGGAATAAAGGCGCGAGCTCAAAAGTTCACCGCGAAAAGACACATAAAAAACACTTCAGCGAAGAAAGACTCTTAACATAGTGGACGGCGAAGAAGGATGTGTTAAATTATTTGACGAAGAAGAAAGACGCCTAAACTTATTTTCGCGGTGTAACAGTATGTAAATTCTCCAACGAGTTTTTGGGGAATAATACTGAAGTGACAGTCATCGGCCAGGTACAAATCTATATTTACGCGCAAGGCACATTAAACAGGTAGTATCAGTAGAGCAAAAACAACATTTGCGTGTATTTTGTTGTTGCTTCTGGTATCGAAAGTGTCAAAAACTGTTCTGAATTTTTTCTTCTAAATCAAAGCGTGCCATGTGAAATACAAAAAATTATAAAAAATAAAAAATTAAATTGGAAAAAATAAAAATTGATGCAACTTTCTTTCCTAGTAAATTTGTTTGCTTCTCGAAGCATTGATCCATCCTTTACAAGGGCCAGTAATCAGCGGTTGTGCTGCTGAGTTGGGCGAACGTCCCAAAAGCTGCTATTCAATCGCTTGTTTTGTATGGAAAAAGGTTTCACATGCAAATGGATTTTAACAATTCAGAATTTTTGTGAGAAAAAATTAAAAATATTTGACATTTTCGAGACCAAATAATTTGAAAATAAATCAAATCAGCTGCTCTACTGATACTACCTGTTCAATGTACCTTGTTTACGCGTCTTTCTTCGCCGAAGTTTTTCTTAAGCGTCTTTTTCCGTAAAATTTTTTTTCGCCGTCAAAACACTAGCGCCTTTATTCGTGTGTAGTGACGATTGGTACATACATATCGTCGTTTAAAGTACAAAACCGCGCATCGTCGTTCTGCAAAATCGCGTAACTGACATTTTTTGCCAAAAATTGGATTTGCTCACCGGATGCTCCTGGCTCAAGCCATTCGTACCAAGGCATATACATGTACCTTGATTCGTACTGAAATTTATTTACTAGCCAGAAATTTGATTGCTTTAAGAAAGAGAGAACAATTTTGAAATATAAGTAGCTTTACTCTCTACAAAATAATTCATGCAACCTCAAATATGCGGTTTTGCATTTTGTTGATACGCGGTTTTGTACTTTAAACGACGATGTGTATGTACAGTATCGGTCATATCTATAGCACGCCATTTCAAAGTGATATTGTGTGGCACTTATGTTTATTTATTTATTTTTAAGAATTTTCAATTAAAATTTAGTTCATTCTCAGACAAACCCCATATATACCCAAGTTTAACAATTTGTAGAAAACTTCAAAAAAGTGCAACAAAATTTCACCTAAATTTCAAACTTTTTTCTCGGAAGTGTTAGAATTTTTTTGAGTACACAGTTTTTTAGCCCCTGCAATTTTAGTCTGATAATGTGCAAATTTCAAGTGGCTACGAATTACCGTTAATTTTTTAGAATTTTTTTTGTGGCATTGGCTTCCATATAATGAATAAACTCACTTTATTTGTATATGGAAGAAAACCGCAACACCTTTGGCGAAAAAAATTCTAAAAAATCAACGGTTACCTTTAGCCACTTGAAACTTGCACATTATCAGACTAAAATTGATTGGGCTATAAAACTGTGTATTCAGAAAAATTTTAACACTTCCGAGAAAAAAGTTTGAAATTTATATGAAAATTTGTTGCACTTTTTTGTAGTATTCTACAAATTGTTAAACTTGGGTTTATATGGGTTTTGTTAGAGAAAGAACTGTATTTTAATTGAAAATTCTTAAAAATAAATAAATAAACATAAGTGGCACACAATATCACTTTGAAATGGCGTGCTATAGATATGACCGATACTGTATGTATGTATGGAAAACACATTCGTTAGCACTATTGTTCGTAAACGCATCGCTGCCGCATCACTGCAGAACTGGCATTTCTATGAGCAATAGTTACTGAACAAAATAATCTGCCTTATTATCCCGAGTTTCGCTCGAAAATTTTTCATCCGTCCATAGTAAATCCATGGAAACCAAAAGCGAAAAGTGAAAATTAAACTCACGATAAGGCTGACGAATGTGTTTCTTTGCTGTAATGCGGCAGTATGCATTTACGAACAAGAGGATAGCCATAGAATTGATTTTTTGGAGTTTTTTGATACTTTTAAAATATAAATATGTATATTTATATATGTATGTGTGTATGTATTTACTTAAAATGCGCTGTTATATAACTTTATAGCACACTTTTTTCCTCGTGCATTTCAAACGAATGAAACTTAACATGCAACAACTGCAGAGTTCTACATTGCGCGCTCAAATCTGTTTTGTAAAAATTTTCCAAATCTCTAACAATTGAGCAGAAACAATTTTGCGCTTCGAAAGTTTATGTTTTCATACACATTTCAATTGTATACAGGAAGTCACTTCGTTTTCGAATATATTGCAACTATTGTACACTGAGAAAAAGAGTTTCGTTACATCAACAAAATATGTACATATGTGTGTTTCTCTCAACACATGATTTGGTTATACATATACATGTAGTTACATACGATATTTGGTTATAGTTACCAAAGCATGTGTTGAGAGAAATATATTTAGCTGGCTTATTTCTGAGTGTATATCTGGTGTGTAAGTATACTTTGTGACCTAATTTGACACAAATTTCCAATAAAAAAGTCGAAAACTATTTTATAATATTTCAACAAAAATCAGCAAGTTCATAACTTAAAAACCAAAATCTAAAAATAGTTGCGTGTATATGTGCTTTGTTGCGTAAATAAATATAAACGCCATAAAGTGGCAATAAGTTCGTTAAGCTGAGTAAGCTTTATCAATAAGCTAAAACAAATCGGCAAATTTTTTTTTTTTTTTTTTTTTACAAACAAAGAGTGCAAAATTTTGCTTGAATTGGTCACCGATCACATTCATAGCACTCAAGCGCTTGTTCAGGCCACTTGCTGCGCACAAACCTACATAATTCAAAACATACAATTTTCAAATTTTCAATTACTAACAACTGTACAACTACATCTTGTAAAAATATCTAACTTTTTTTCTTAAATCTTCTTAAATTCTGCAATACGCTCCTCCTGCCGTACAATTGCTTGCTATCACTTGCCTAAACTACTTTTATTTGCATTTTTCGTTTGTGTTCTTTTTTTGTTTCTTGTCTTGGCTCACTTGATATTATTATAATTTTTTTTTATGGTTTTTGTTGTTTGTGTATTTTTTGCTTAAATTGTATTTTTCACAAACTCACAGTTTATATCATAAAAATATCTTAAACTTAGTCTTAAGAGAATTTTAATATTTCGACATTTCTGGCAATTAGCACCGATGCTGCCGCAACCGCTCTCCATCAACTGGGTGGTGGTGGTCGCCGACACGGCAATCGTATCAATAACAACTGTCTCATCTTCGTACTCGTCCCGTTCATAGTAGTAAATATCGTAGTCCTTTTGGCTGTCGTTGGTCATGGTCACTTGCGTGCCGCGCTGCTGCTCCACGTCATACGCTGAACGTTTAAAATAGCGCGCACAGCGTACGCTGCTACCAGTGGCATTCATTACGGAAGTTGCCGTTGCATGGCAGGTTACGCCACCACCATTTTTACTATTCCTGCCATTCTCCTTAACACCAATTGCGTCTCGGTTCGTACTACTCCCACCTCCGCCGTCGCCGCCGCTGCCCATCCGAGCTAATCTGGAGCAAGCACGGCATGCTGTTGCTGTTGTTGTTGCCGTTGTTGCAGCTTTAGTTGCTATAGTTTGTTGATTATTTGAATTGCCAATTTGCCTTGGCCAGAGGCAGCGCATCCATGCGAAGCGCCTTTCACATTTTAAACATTGCTAGTGACAGTGTTCCGTAACATCGACAATCACCGACTTCCGCCAGCAGAACAGGAAGTAGCCCACAGCAGCGCCCAATACGACCGCGATGCATAGCCAAACATTGTAGGTCATAAAGATCAACATCAGCATAAATGATAGCGTCACTTGGATGATGTGGAGGCCGGTTTGGTACAGATGATTTAGCGAAAGCATCGTTGGACTGCGGGCAAGAAGAAAAGAGAAGCGAGTTAGTATATGAATGAGTGTTTATGAAAAGGGGGAGCAAGCAGGAAGAATGTAAAATATGTTTGTATGTATGTATGTATATATGTATGTGCGTATGTACCTAAAAATATGAAACACAAAATGGCAGCCGGAAACGAACTTTTTGATGCGTTGAAAAGCGGATAATCGAACAAACACATGCACAAACAAGTGCAATACACACACACACACGAGTACATTTGGACAGAAGTACATATCGACAGTGGATTATTTTATCTTATACAAAGGCATAGATGGATAAGTTTGCAGCTAAAATTCTTGTCTGCCGTACTTTTAGCATTTAAATCTTGCAAAAAAAAAAATACAAATAGCGACTGAAAAAAATATGCTTCAATTGCTTAATCTTTTATCCAAATACATAGGTAAATGAGAAATATTTTTACTAAAACTACTGCTTAAATGAAAGCTAAATCGCGTTCACGGCGCAAAGGCTTACGAATACATACTGAGATCACTGTTGTTAGCTCGAATTTTGGATGCGATGGCGTTTGGAAGATTTTTTCAATGACAGCTCCAACAAAAATTTTATTGCTGTAGGGGTAAAAGTGCAAAAGCTGAAGAATGCTGCTGAAATGAAAGTCCTAGTCTATCGCTGTAAAATAGGCCCGACTGTCTTGGAAATGAGGTATAATTGCAAATAGGAATTGAGTTCAGGCAGTGGCGACTACATACACTGCCGGAACAAAGTATTGGCATAGCAAATTTTTCACAATATATGCAACAATTTTTATTCTAATATTTTTCCACCAATTTTGTATAAAAATATGGTTCATTCAACAAATTTTCAACTTTTTAATCAGATTTTTTTGAGTTTGCAGTTTTGCAGCCCATTAAATTCTAGTAAACAATGCAAGTTCGAAGTTAGTAAAAAATCGCGTTGATTTTTGAGAATTTTTTT